TGACCTTTGTCAGACCGAGGGTGGCGCTTGATCCCTTCAGGAAATGGCCAAGGGCGGACAGCTGTTCAAGATCCTTCTTTTCTCTGGAGGAGGAAGATCAGTAGAGCCAGAGAGGACAGAAACGCTGTAAACTCACAACTCCGAGTCCATCTTCTTGAACGTAGCGTCGGCCTGCTGGAAAAAATCGAAGACGATGCTTCTCGAGAATTCGCGCTCGTCTTCATCGTCGTCCATCTCGAGGATCTGCTCGAAGGTGGCGGCATCGATATTGTCGCCGAGTTCTGGCATGCCTGTGGAACCCTCCTCGCTCTATGAGTGAAATCGTGGTCAGCTGTGATTCGGATATGAAGCGGCGGCGACAAAGCAATGTACGGGCGATGGTCGAGGATTGTCGCAAGCTCGAATTGGGTCGAGGGAGGCGACCGGAGTCAAAAAGCAGGAGGGGTGAGGGGGGGGCTGATTCATGTACGTACCCTCGCATCGTTGGTGGCACCAGGCATCTTTGGTGTAAATATGTAGCAATCGCAGGTGCAGATGGGTGGGCGCCGACACGGGGAAGGAGGGAGAATCCCGACGGTGGATTCTGGGAGGCGGGGGGAGGAGAAAAGTTTGGGTGCGAGCTGCGATGCGGTGTAAGTCAAGTGGTGCGGTCTCAAGCTGGGTGTTTCCCGAACTGGTTGTGACGGCGACAACACCAAGCGAGTGAGAGTGAGGTGGACACTCGGTGGACACTCGGTGGCGGGGTACGCGGCTGGCGATACGATATACGAATAAATGCTGGACGTACCTGAGAGCGTTCGTAGGGATAGTGGATTAATAAGGGCTTTCTGAGATGCGAAAACAGAAGACGAGAACACCTGTCGGCAGAGTGTATGCCGGGGAGCGGGCGCCCTTGACGTAACTCCCGCAGCTCGTCGGGCCTTATGCGTCGAACTCTTCTCTTGTGCCCTCCGTCAGCCTGGACAACCTCGATTCAGAATATGCGGGCTAAGAGCCAGTCAGCAATGCGTGTGTAAGCTGTGTGCCTTGCTGCGACAGGACAGTCGGTGACAAGCGACGTACTGCTTGTGCCCGACCGCGCTTTTCCACTCGCTCGTTTGGTCAGGGGGGTTCCCGGTGGGGAGGTGGCTTGCAGACTGGAGCTGAATTGGAGATTAGGTGATGTATATTTAGAGATTACTGGGAGATATATGCAAACCGAGGCTGGCAGGAGTCGAGGCAGAGGATGGCTATAAGAACGCTCAAATGACACACAAGTCACAGGCTTTGCCAATAATCGAATGGCTGCACCCCGTGCTCGTTGGCCTTGCGGTCTTGTGCTCTAGCCGTCATCATCGATGCCTGCTCGACTGTTGTCCGCGAACCAACGGTGCGTCCAAGAAATTCGTTTTTCAACACTGTTCATAGCCTGTGCGTGTGACGAGGCCTGCAAATTATTAAAGCTAAACCTTGTGGCATAAGAGCTATCAGCCACTTCTGTGTGTCCTAGACAAGTACCGTGTCGTACAAGATGCTAACACAAATGACCATTTTGGCACACCAACTGATCCGCACTCAGAACAGAGGTAGTCGTTCCCGTCCATGTCCCGCATTCAGAAGTGGTGCCCGGCATGTGTGGAACGGTAACGGTCAGATACCGTGGAATACTGACCATGACGATCACCAACTCCTAATTTTGGCCTGCTGATCGAGCTCTACCTTTAGTTCCCTGCCTCAAGACTCGCGATACTTCTCAGCGGCCATTCTGGAGCGTTCTAACCCTCGTTCGAAATGCAGATATTCCGATTCAGTCGGCCGAGTCTCGCTCTCGCTTTGGGAGTGTTCGAGATGCACAGTAAGTAAGCAAGTATATCCTGTACTCCCCATCGCAGTACAATTGAGTCATAGTGGAGGGACAATGCTTGGAAATATGCGTCACATCCACGATCAGTCCTGGAATTGGCCATAGTACTACACGAGTGAATATCCAAGAAAATTTCTCTTGACACGAATAATTGCGTGCCACGGCATTGATGATCCTTGAGGCAAGTTGGCATGCCACCGATACAAACGTTGCACGTGCCAATCCAGCCCGCCACCCTGGGGTCCAGACCACTTGATATGACCCCAGATTCTCTTTGATTAGCCAAATCACCACATAGCTACCGTTCGATAAAGTCACAAAGCGGGACTCGTAGCACACATCCATTCGCGCAGCTGGAGACCACCCTGGTAGAATTGCTGACGAATCATTGCAACATTCCTCACATGGTCGATAAGCCAGTCTGAGGTCAATCCGGGCTCTCTATGGACGGTCGCAACTGCGTCGGCTGACTGGCTGAGTTACAATTGCACGTCATGTTTCACCGGCAACTAGCCAAGCTAGACCTTGGTTCTTCCCTGTGCTCGCAAATGCATGGTTGGCCGCGGTTGGCCGCGTGCAAATAGTTGCTTGCAAATGGTATATGCTCTATCAGCACAGACATTAAATCTATAGCGTATCAAATCGTTAGCGGGCTCGCATCTCTTGCTGCCCATCGGTGCCAGGAACCTTCTCAGAACTCCTGAACACAACCGCCATGGCCTCTTCCAACACATCCATACCTTTGTTGATCTCCTCCTCGGTAATGATGAGCGGTGGCACAAACCGCAGCGTGTTCGTCCCACATGTAATGATAAGCAATCCTCGCTCCCTCGCCGCTGTTACCACAGGAGTCGGGTCGCCTTTGAGCTGCAGCCCAAGGATCAGACCACGACCTCGGACTTCAGCGATGGTATCTGGGTACTTTCGGCGGAGCGCGTCAAAGCGCGAGCGAAAGATCTGCTCCTTGTCTAACACCGAGCGCTGGAGTTCGGGATCGGAGAGCCGACCAACGATGTAATGGGCCAGCCGGCAGGCGAGTGGGTTACCACCAAATGTCGTGCCATGATCGCCTGTCACTATCTTGGAGCTGACCTCATCTGTGACCAGCGTGGCTCCAACTGGGAATCCATTGCCAAGTGCTTTGGCGGTTGTCAGGATGTCCGGATGCGCTTCAGCAGGTGCATGTGAGTGAGCCCAAAGCGAGCCGGTACGAGCCAGACCGCATTGGATCTCATCGTAGATGAGAACCGCACCCACCTCATTGCAACGTCGGCGGAGAGCGAGCAAAAACTCCGAGGTGGCCACATTGACACCACCTTCTCCTTGAATGGGCTCCACAATGACACCGCACGTCTTGTCGGTCACTAGCGAATTGATACCAGCGACATCGTTGTATGTCCCGTAGCGAAACCCGGGGACCATTGGGCCGAAAGGTTTCTGGTACTTGGGATTTGGTGTCGCAGACAACGAGCCCATGGTTCTGCCGTGGAAGGAGGACTGAAATGACACAAGCTCATGCTTTGCCCCAGAAGGATCGGCGAGGTTACCGCACTTCCTCGCGAATTTTATGGCGGCCTCATTCGCCTCGCTGCCCGAGTTGCAAACAAAAACCTTCCCAACAGACGACATTGCCCCGCTTTCCTTGGTCTTCTCCACCAGAAGTTTGGAGAGTGAGCCCGTCCATGGGTTGTGGTAGAGGTTCGAAGCATGAACCAGCGTTTGTGCCTGTTGAGCCATGAGCCGGGCCATTTCTGGGTCACAATGCCCCAGAGAGTTGACAGCGATCCCGGCAGTAAAGTCCAAATATTCCCTATTTTCGACATCATACAAGTAACATCCTTCTCCTTTATGAAACATAGGTGGTGGGCGAACATAAGTAGGCACCATAAAAGGCATGCTGGAATCTACAAGTCGGGCGGTTTGCGAGTCTGAAAGAGGGTCGGGATTCGAGAGACTGGCTTCTTTCTGCAATTGTTGGTTATTTCATGGCTTCCACGAAGCTGTTTGGCTTTGCACGTACCTGAATTGCCTGCTGAACATCAGCTGGTAAATTGGACGCTGCCGCTTGCGAGGCATATCGGCGCAACTGCCATTGGCAAGTCTTGCAGGCATACGAAGTCCCCAAGCGGCGACCAAGGGGACGGAATATGGTAGCCATTGTGTCTATATTCGTAAAGAAAAAAAGAGAAAACAAAATTCAGCGTATCGTGAATTGAAACGGAAAAAAGCGGCTAGAGTCATACTCCGCGCATGTTGGAGGTTGTCGATCAGACAAACTGCAGGCTATTTCCGAGCAAGCTCCGGCCGACATCGCTGCCCCGCTTTTCCCCTATCTTTAACCATCTCCATCCTGGTCTCTACGCCTTTTCCTTCTCGTTCTTCTGACACGGTAGAAACGCACGAGCAAAAGTAGGTAGATCGATTAGCCGGACTGGAAGTGGGACAGCAAAAGTTTCTGCGTATTGCTGAGTACCACAATCAACTGCAAACAGCTGTGCTCCAAATGCACGCCTATATGATCTGCTCTGTCCCGATGGACTTCATATGCGTATCTCAGGTGTGCGAGGGCATGCCTGGGAGAGAAACAAAGGCTAGGGCCCTCCAGCCGTGTGGCAGGGTCGAGCGATTAACTGCCAAAACTGATGATTATCATGCAACACAGAAAAAGAAAGTAAGTATAGCTCGAGCCTAGCATGGATGATCGCTGGTCGTAGTCTGCAGAGCATTGGGCTTGCGAGAAGCTGGTGGTAGGGCGCACAACGATAGCTCTGTACTTTCAAACGCATACAGACCCGGCCCCTCTTCAAAATCGATATTCCGATAGCGTGATCCGAGCCATGTTCGTATGTGCTTCATGGTGAACTGTGTTGTTTAAGTGCCCTTGCCTCGAAGTCGAACGTATTCGAGTAGTATAACGACTTGGCAAGGCGTCGATGGTCCTTCCTGGTGGGTGGCCTCCAGACTTTCGACTACGAGTCTACAGTGCAGCATCCATGTCGCTGGGCGTAAGTTAGTCAAGTACAAACAGCTGGTGTGGTTAGCGAGATCATGTGAAAGAAATTGCAAAAAAAACCCACCGACCATAAAGACCTCAACCCAACCAATACACCTGATCATTGAGAATGCTTAGTGTCTCAAAAAATCAAAAAGAAGAATGCTCTCTGTCAGGGAATCGAACCCTGGTCTCCCGCGACTTGTCGGATTAATGACAAGCGGAAATCATGACCACTAGACCAACAAAGATCAGAGCGTGATGTTCTTAAGAACTGATGGAAGTGCCACGACTGATATGTAATATATACCTATCAAATTGCAAAACAGCCTTCGAACTGCATGGAATCAGGTCGATACATCAATATTGGCACTCCGTAATGTAATTTCGTATTGTAGCCGTGTCCCATTCAAAGAGCTATTGAGCGAGAAATGCCTGCCGCACTTGATCAAATTTTTGATGCGGAGCGTCTCATCTGATCAGAAGGCAGGCTTCAGAAGTTTGTTCAGCTTCATACTTGATCGATAATCGTCTTGGTGCGATCATGGCGATATTGGGCTCACAGCACCGTGCGATACGCTTTTCATATTGCCATTAAATTTTATCAAATCATCAAAGGATCGACAGGTAATCGTTTGACTAGCATTACCGTCCTGGAAATGGAAATGGGAGAGAGCATGCAACATTGTCGCAAGTGGGAGTCGTCCCAGGTCTGCTCCAGACCAATCGACGGATGAATCAGCGACAACATTGACAGCTCAAGCTGTGAAGAACGCAAACGGCGCTTAACACAATCCACCCTCATATCGGGGAATATGGACGCGACACCTTGAATGTTGGCATTACTTGTGGCGAGAGACAAGGTTTACACGTCTTCACTGAGGACTCTGAAAAGATCTTGGATTGCGGACCAACAATACCGGAGTCGTAAGAAATGGCTAATCCGTGTTTCGTAGCTGGAAAGAGGCACGGATAATTGCTTTCTGCACTAGCATATCAGTGAGTGCTGTTTCATTGTTCACCATTCACGAGATGAAACCCATTCTCATCATCGGTTGCTTTTTATGTGCGGCTAAAGGTGAGCATTGGATGTGCATGTACAGACCTATCATCTTCACCTGTAGGCTGCGGAAGGCTGCTTACTTGTGGATCATTCCTTCACTTCACTTGCGATGTGGTGTCCGCGGTATTCACTTCACTCGCTTCCCTGCCCCCCTTCACCTCTTCTCCGCCGCAGTACTGTCTAAGATGAGACGGGCATCTGTTTCCTGTCTTTGCATTAGCCTCTCACCGTATCTATGTTAGCAGGCACTCCTGCGTCTCGCCATGTCGTCACAGCATGTCCTGGGCAGCACGTTGATCATTCCTAAGATCACAATGATGGGCGACCCATCTCGTACCGCGATCACCTTCTGGCTTACAGAATCCGTCTCCAACTTTGCTAGCTTGACTCCGGCTCTACGCCTGCAAGCACCGCCTCTGGCGAGCCAGACTTGCCAACCTCCGAAGATCAAGCCTTTCGAGCAGCCCTTCAGCTGGTGTCCTTGGGAGGGTCTACACCGAGACCACAAGTACAGAGCCGGCTGCTCAGTCTTGCTGATGGCTCCAACCGATGCCGATGTCACAGATCTGGGCAATTTCATGAGCAGGTTGGCCGTACGCAGAAAGGCTGCCGCACTTTGTATCAAGCTTCCTGTCAAAGCAAGTGTCGAGAGCGCTCCTACGTCCATCAGTTTCGGCACCAAATTTGGCCTGGCAGAGTTCAATGCAGTCAACAGAGATCCGACCAGCACCTTCACCAAGCAAGTCCGCGAAGCTGCCGATCCTCTGTACGGCACGCCTCCCACAGACAACATCTTCCTCATGACGCTGGGAATGGCATGCTATCTCGCCACTGGCCGCAAGCTAGACGACCAAATCGTCAACCACGAGTATGTCAAGCATCTCCGCACAAGCCCTCTTTGCCAGTATCGCAGTCATTGGAGGATCTTCAACTCGCTATATGATGTGTACTCAGCCTCAGATGCTATGAGCCAGACGGATAGGGACAAACTCGCAATTGAATGGGACCGACTCGTCTGGTTCGTCCTGCTCCATGCGGACTACGTGTGTGCCACACCTTCTACTGCCATGCATCCAAGTCTCACTTCAGCTCTGCGTCCCGACTGGGGTATTTGCGATAATGCTCACCTCGTGGAATATCGCGAGCTTCTTGGCGTCATGGGCGCTCACCCACACGTGCGCGCCTGGCTAGTCGGTGGGGATGACAAGGCATATAGCGCTCGGCGTTTTAACGCGATGGATGTGCTGCAATGTCGAGGTATTGAATGCCTTCGATATGACTAGCAGTACGCAATCTTCTGACTGGTGGTTGGAGTGGTGGAATGAAGGCTTTTCATGACCATGAATGTCTGCGGAAGTAATGATTGGGGTGAAAGAGAGTCTGATGTCCCACGATATTCGCTACTTTGCCCCGGTCGAGCTGAGCCTATGTTGCAACATTGACAGACTAGATCTCCTGAATCACCCACAATTCAATGAAGAATGCAATTTTATTTCCACAATCAATAAATCGAAAAGAATGAATGTTTCCAGTTTCTGTCCGTCAAGAAATGCTAGAAATTAAAGAGACGACAAACACCCCCGTCCAAGGGTCACCAAACGGGCCAGCCCGTGCCTGCCCTTGCCTTTCCTGCTCTATCAAAATGCGTGGCATGCAAGAGTGCCGTTAATCCATCTATTCTCCTATGCTCCCATGATTCACCTATTCGCCTGGAAAATGAACAGCGAACCTGAACAAAACATGACAATCTCCAAATACTTCATTCAACCTCGTATTTCCGGTCTAGGTCTTTTCCCGCCCTTGAGCGACTTCATCCTGCTAATGAAGCCGCCTGATGGCTGGTCCTTCTTTTCGAATGAACTGGATGTGGGAGCACTGTCAGTGGTCACAGCCCTAGTGAGGGCAGGTGCACGGCTCGATGAGTTGGAGCGATAGTTGTTTGAAGCTTCGGCGAATTCTATGCGTGCACCTTTCTTCTCGTAGGCATCATCGTGGTTGCTTTGACCGTTCTCGAAGAACGGATTCTTCTCAGAGGCCATGGGACGTGCGCGAAGTGGCCCACCAGCGCTTTGGCTGTGTGCAGGAGGAGATTCTGGCGATTTTGGACCATAGCCGTCAGGGCTATTGACACGACCACCAATGCCTTCGCCAGGTCGGCGCGGTTGTGAAAGGCCCCGAATGCGCATGGCTAGCGATTTGGTACGTCCAAGACCACCAGGATTGTTGTTCATAGGTTGCATATCATTTTCTGATTCACGGCGACGTTGAGCTGAGCGAGACGCTGGGGCGCCTTCCAGGAAAGTGGAAGTGCCGAGGCCAGTTGACTCCTCGCCATGAATTTGTTGTCCCCTGTCTGTAGGGTTGATGTATTGAGCAACTTTGTCCTGAAGATGTTTGTCGCGCTTTGCGGGGTCTGTGGTGTAGTAGTCTTGACTGACGGTAGCGTAGTCGGCGAAACCTTCAACACCTCTGCCGTGGAATTTATCGTGATCAAATTGACGCGGAGAGTTTCCGCCCAGCGCATTGTTGGCCGAGTTGGGGTGGAAGGCTTGCATGGGAGCCTTCTGGTTGTGCTTCTTGTTTCGGTGAGGGTTGCATGCATCGAAAGGACCGTCATGGTGGATAACTGGTCAGGTTAGATCGCCGATTTGACCATGAACATTGAAAGAAATACGTACATCCTGAGCCATAGATTCCGGTGAGATCCAATTTGTCGATAACATCAAACCCTTGGGGCCGACGAAGGGGCTTTGAACGAGACTTGCTGTCCTTGTCTTTTGTGTCTTTGCCATCTTTCGCGTCCTTCTCGCGCCGCGCTTCACGTTCCCGTCGTCTTTCTCTTCTCCTCCGGTCTTCGTCCGCTTTTTCTTTGTCCATTATGGACGATTCAGAGTTTCGTCGTACTCGTTGCTTATCAGGACTGAAAGCGCCACGCTTCTCACCATCTGGTTGCGGTCGCGCGGGTCGGGCATCGTCACGTTTGTCACCTGACCTTGACGGACGATGTTGAGGAGGGGGTAAAGTGCCTGATCTGGGGCCACCTGGAACATTGCGCGGTGTAGGGCCTGAACGTATCAGTCAGTCATGGATTGATATGCTATATAATTTTGATGGCGCTCACCATTCAGCCGCGAACGTTCTGGCGAGGTCGGGTCTCTCTGGAAGCAGGAGAGTCAGCAAGAGGTACTGTCGTCATGACCAATTTTCGGACTTACGAATATGTCGTCAACGAGTTTTGCCGTGAGAGCGTCCTGCTCGGTCTTTGGGGCCGAGTTTGTGGCCGCGGGCGGGTCGAGAAAGGGATTGCGCGACATTGGTCTTTCGCGGTCGACGACAGGCGAGATGGGCGAAAGTTGGGCGCTGGTGGGCGGCGAGGGACGGCGAAAAGGATTGTTTGTGCCGAAGCTGATAGAGTCGTCGGAAGAGGGACGAAGGTATGAGTTTGGAGGAGTAGGGCGGCGGTCTGAAATTAGAGCAGAGAAAATGTTAGTAACAGGATAGGACGGGCGCGATCAGCAAGGGTGAAACCAGCTCGCGCGCTGGGGAGCGAGTGAAACGAGACGTGGGCAGTGGGATCAGCGATTTGGGATTGGGCGGGATCAGGGTGACAGACGGAATGGGGAAGGGATCGGGTCCGTACCTGGCGCCGGCATCGCGACGAGTGACATTGTGCTGGGTGTGGTTCTGTCCTCTGACAATACTGTATTGATTGGAATTTGTTGCTTGGTGTGCTAGGGGTGATTATGGGGCATATGCTGCTATTTGGTATGTTTTATTCGGTATTGGGGCCGCGGTATGTATGCGTATGCGTGAGTATGCAGAGGGCGGGCTGCGCAGGCGGGTAGAACAGGGCGTGTGCGGGGATTATTTGTTGCCGTGTGTTGTGCGCCGGGCTAGGCAAGGCGCTCAGGCTTCGGGTCGTGATATGAATGGGTGGCAGTATTGGTAGTCGAATGACGAGAAGAGGTAGAAGAAGGGAGACACAAGAAGGAGAGACAGAATCAGTGTCAGCAACGACAAGTCGTATTGCCGTTAGCTGCCGTCGTCGTCTGGGAGTTTGTTCGTCTCTGGTGTGTCGCGGGCTGCCGCAAACCGCAGGAGGTGACTGCGGGACTGACTGTGTTGGAAAGGGAAAGTGCAACTGTGCGGCACTCCAAACCAACAGATCGATTTCGATGCAGCTACGTG